ACTTTAAAATGGACTTGACCTACTTTATAAAGATATGTTGAGACTGGTTAAATTCATACTGCTTCATATGTTCCTATTTAAAACATGTGGTCAAAGCAAAGTAATGTGCTTTAATAATTACAAAGAACGAAAAGATTTTTGACCATCAAGAGTGATTAAGTGTTAGAATAAACTACAAGCAAAATTGTGTAATCTTCATTCCTCAAATAACATCTTAAAATTAAATCATCAGTTGTTAAAGAGCTATTTTCTTAGCTGTTTATAAGGAAACATGTCTACCATTCCACGTGAATATTGATAAGAAGTCCATTTAAGTCCCACCTCTGTCTCTTAACTAGATAGATGACTTTGGGCAAGTCACTTACTACTTCTGAACACTGTTTTTCTCTGTGTTGTAGGAAATTGACTTGGTATTTGTTAAGAAGGATAGAGTAGGTAATACAATTAATATTACTCCTTTTTTGTAAGTCTACTTCAAAAAGTAATAAAATACCACAGATATGTTGCTGTGGCTGCATTTTTTAAAAAACAGTTTTATTGAGAGAGGAGTAATGTGGAAGAGGCTACTTATTTTGAAACTTGAGAGCCTTCTCTTACCTTTGCAAGTTGTTACTGTTTTTGAATGTTAGTCAGAATTGCAGTGGTCATTATTTTAAACACCTTTGAATTAGGTAGTACCTTTAAATGTGCTCTGCCTGATGTGATTGTGTGATGGTGTGTACAATAACATAAAGTACTCATACAAGTCCTAAAAGTGGCAGTCACTGTTGAAACTGCTTGTATTTTTAGGTTTCTCTCTTAGCAACAGTCAAGTTTAACCTCTAGCATGTGAGATAAACTCTTATTGCAAAATAAGAAAGCTCCAGCTGTTTTCACAATCTAATCCCTCAGCAGGGTTTGTCTTAATTCTTATTAAACATTTTCATTACTTTAATTATAAATATTTGCCATAATTAAATCTCTCATTCCCTTTCTTGTTCTTTTAGTACAACTCATTTAAAGAGTCAACTCTTGCCTATGGAATTGTAAGAAAACAACATTTTGAAAGTATTCGACTCATTCTGCTATTTTAAAGCATAATTTAAAAATGATCTGGTGTTGAATGTGTACATTTTTCATGGCATCGTTGACCAGCACAATATCAACTTGGGACTTTGTCCTAATAAAGCTCTTAATAACAGCTGGGTGTTTATTATTCCTGTTTGAGGAATAATAGTCTTCAACCAAGAAAAATGTTGTAACAATTTGTGGAGTGATTACCCACCTGAAACCAAGCTAGAATTTATGGAAATACACGTCAGAGAGTTAACAACCATATGTACCCAATGAAGAAAATAGGCTACAAATCTTTTTATTTAGAAAATTATACAGTACAGTGTAATTTATTGTAGAAAACACTGAGTTGAATTGTCTCTGCGATATACAGGTAGAAATATAGCTGAAGAGGTCTGGTGTTTGGAAGATTTCTAGGCGGGATGTATACATGAGTTTTCTGCCTACAGATGGTAAATGAAAGTTGGAAAAACCTGCCATACCCAGGAGGCATGCATAGTGTGAACAAGAATGACATGAAATCCTGAAGAAAAGTTGTTGCTGTTTGTTTCTGCTCTTTTGGGGGGCCTGCCACCCATCTCCCAAATAAATCACACATGGAGGCATATTCTTAATTATGAATGCCTGGCCTTAGCTTGGCTTGTTTCTTGCCAGCTTTTCTTACCTTGAATTAACCTGTCTGTCTTTTGCCTCTGGGCTTTTACCTTTCTCTACTTTTGTATACCTTTCTTTCTTACTCCATTGCTGGTTGTGTAGCTGGGTGGCTGGCCCCTTGAGTCCTCCTCCTTCTCTCCTAGATCTTTTTTTCCCCCCAGATTTCTCCTACTATTTATTCTACCTGCCAGCCCCACCTAACCTTTCTGCTTTGCCGTACAACTCTTTATTGGACCATCAGGTGTTTAGACAGGCACAGTAACACAGCTTCACAGAGTTCAGCAAATGCAACATAAACAAAAGTATCACACCTTAAAATAATATTCCCCAACAAAAAGTAATATGTAAGAGATGACTAGCCAGAGAGGTAGGAGGGAACTTGGTTAAGTGTATTAACATGGTAAGGGAGGGTTATCAGTCCAGGAGGAGTTGGTAATCCTGATGATACAGCAGAGGTGATGGGGCTGGAGGAAGAAAGAGGAGCCCTTTAGATTGGTGAGGATCTTAGTAGAGCAGTCTTAATGTGGGTAGGAATAATAAAGACAATGAGAGAGCTACTGAGTAGATAACTAGGAAACTACAAGATTTTAGTTTTTGTTTGTCTTCAGATTTGACTAGGAAATAAGAGTGATAACAAAAGACAGGTATTACTTAACTTTTCACCACTGACAAAAAACAATGAAGCAGTTAAAAGATTTTAGAAAAAAATCTATTGAATAAGCTTAGTTACAATTAAATCGTCAGATTTTGTTTACACTTTCTCTTATTTTTGGTATAAACTTTGTTTGATGAAATGTTAAAAAATCAGTTTTAAGATGAGAGGGTATCCGGGAGAGCAGGCCGACCAAACCTTGTCTGGGCAGCACAATGGAGCCAACTCTTGGTGGAGATGGAGGTGAGCCAGCCCTGAAGTAGCATAGGAGAGCTGTCCCACTACTCATCTGTCAGGTTCTTTCAGGTCTGGCATGGGTGGAGGAGAGTCGTCGTCGTCGTGTGTGTGTGTGTGTGTGTGTGTGTGTGTGTGTGTGTGTGTGTGCCCCTGCCCCGTAAACTCCTGACGCAAGTGGAAGAGCTGGCCCTGAGGTCATAAGAGCCGAAGAGCTGTCCCTGCCCCTCACCAGCTACAGCACTTGGGAGAGTGGCCCCTACACCTCACCTGTGCAACACAGTAGAGCTGGTCCTCAAGGTGTAGGTGTGAGAGAACCAACCCTGAGGACGGGTGAAAGTGGGAGAAATGGCCCTAGCCCTTGCTCAAAGCTGCAAAGAGTGAACTTTCTGGGGGCGGGAGGGGAGAGGGGGAGCTAGCAGACTGACCAACCCTGCAACTATCCAGGGTTATATGTTAGCCCACCCCAACATCCACCCCATCTGTGATCTCCTGGAGCACGGGGTGGGGGTTGGTCCTGCAGACCCAGGGCGCAAGATCTCAATGGCACAGGGTAGCAACAGAATGTCCAGGAAGAATCCCAGTTAAGGCCCAGTGTCGATGGTATAGCAGAGACCAGGGACCTCGAACCAGACCAATGATTCTTTGGGATGAACACCTGCATGTAAAAATCTATGGATAGAGGTGTTTGCTGCGTGACTTACTGTGTCACACTGCAGCTTCCATAATGATATTCTCCCTTTCTTCCTTTTTTTTCTCTCCTTTTTTTTTGTTTGTTTGTTTTTGTTTTGTTTTTCAAGACAGGGTTTCTCTGTGTAGTTTTTTTTTTTTTTAATTTATTTATTTATTATGTATGCAGAGTTCCGGCATGTATGCCTACACACCAGAAGAGGGCACCAGATCTCATCCTAGATGGTTGTGAGCCACCATGTGGTTGCTGGGAATTGAACTCAGGACCTCTGGAACAGCAGCCTGTGCTCTTAACCTCTGAGCCATCTCTCCATCCCCCTCTGTGTAGTTTTGGTGCCTGTCCTGGATCTCACTCTGTAGACCAGGCTGGCCTCGAACTCACCCAGATCTGCCTGGCTCTGCCTCCTGAGTGCTGGGATTAAACGTGTGTTCTGCCACCTCCCGGCTCTCCTTTTTTCTCTTAAATTTTATTTTGTTTTATTTAGGGGGAGCAGGGGAGGGAGATGGGTGAGATCCGGAGACATGATGTGGAGACATAATGTGAAAGACACAAAGAATAAATAAAAAGAAAATTTTAAAAGATGAGGGAGTGTCGGTAATCCCTCATATTATTTCATGGATACTGTTTCTCTACCCTGAAAATTATCAGTGACTTTCAGTTGCTAAAAGACTGAATCCATAGACTAACATATAAAATTCATGCTTGGTCCAATTCCCTTTTGGCCTTATTTCTTACGACTTTCTTGCATTTCACCATAATCCATTAATATTAGGAAGACGGAACATATTTTGTCAGTTCATTTGCTGTACTTCAGAAATGAATTTCTCTTTCTTACTAGTTTACCCTGCCCAACCCTTTTCTATGCTAATCATCTTTGCTGTGCTACTATTTTTTTCTCATTGTGTTGATCCACATAATGTGATTGAGTTTTGTCTTCTGCCTCCCTTGTAATTCCTTTAAGATGAGATGCTAATTTACCTGTATGTTGCCAGAGGGGACACAGTGCCTGGTACCTAGTAATTAGCAAGAAATTCATATTTAGTAAAGTGAATGAGAGCTGGCCCTGAGAAGTAATGAATGTACATATGTATTCTCAACAATATGATGAGGGGTTTGCAGTGAGGCATATTAGAATCAAGTTAATTGAAATTTAAAAGCTAAAATCTATAGTAGTCTCTAAAATTCCAGTGTTTTTAAAATAGCACTTTTATTATAATTTATTTTATACAGTACTATATTTTGAATATTTTATATGGAAGCCACAATATGCCTGTTATGCATATTGTTACCTAGTATGTAAATGTGAAACTTTGACATTTTAAAATACCAGATTGTTACTAAAAGTGCTTAAGTGCCTTTTTTTTTTTAAGATTTATTTATTATGCATACCGTGTTCTGCCTGCATATATGCCTGCAGGCCAGAAGAGGGCGCCAGATCTCGTTATAGATGATTGTGAGCCACCATGTGGGTGCTAGGAATTGAACTCAGGACCTTTGGAAGAGCAGCCAGTGCTCTTAACCTCTGAGCCATCTCTCCAGCCCGCTTACGTGCCTTTAAGATGTATTAATTATGTGTCAAAGTAACCACTTAAATGTATGTTGTATGTATGGATTTTATATATTTCATTCTCAAGAATAACCTAGAACATATGGGTAATTTGATTTATTATACAGTTTTTGTCTAATGGCATTACCTTTTTCTATTTCAAAAACTAGAGCTGGACTGGCCATTATGGAAGAAGAGGTTCAGCAGCACCCACACTGTGTGAATTGTGTCAGTAGACGGTGTATGACCAGACCAGAGCCTGGGATTTCCTGTGACCTGATTGGTTGTCCATTGGTCTGTGGAGCAGTTTTCCATTCTTGTAAAGCTGATGAACATCGACTCTTGTGTCCCTTTGAACGAGTACCTTGCTTAAATAGTAACTTTGGATGTCCATTTACCATGGCACGAAATAAAGTTGCTGAACATCTAGAAATGTGTCCTGCAAGTGTGGTGTGCTGTACTATGGAATGGAACCGATGGCCAGTTAGTTACGCAGACCGGAAATCATATGAAAATCTAAGCAGAGATGTTGATGAAGTGGCACAATTAGACATGGCCTTGGCTCTTCAAGATCAAAGAATGCTTTTGGAATCTCTCAAAGTTGCCACCATGATGTCAAAAGCAACTGATAAAATATCTGAACCTAGAGAACAAATTTCAGTGAAATCGAGTGTTCAGGAAATGCCATGTGCTAATGGGTTGGTATCTGTTGATGAAGAATCATATGGTGCACTTTATCAAGCTACTGTAGAAACAACCAGAAGTTTGGCTGCTGCTTTAGATATCCTGAATTCTGCCACAAGAGACATTGGCATGTTAAATACAAGTCTTCATGCTACCACAGATGAAATGGATGAGAATAGCAGAGAAAGTTTCCAGGAAAGAAACTTAAAAGACCAGGACCACCTTCATGAGGATGAGGTAGGGGCAGTAGGTGGAGTTGACCTTAATGGCACAAGTCAGAATGCTCAGTCTGAACAAAATGGTTCGAGTGATTTACTATGCGACTTAAATACAAGCTCTTTTGGTACTTCTGCTCTTTGTAATGGCTTTCCTTTGGAAAATATGTGTTCACAGGTCAAAGACCAGAATCAAAATTCTCCTGGTGATTCCATAGAAAGTAACATAGAAAATGGAGACTGTGCAGCAGCAGATGGTACTTTAGAACCTTCCAGTTCACTTTTAGTAGCAGCACAACTTAGAGAAATAATTCCTTTCAATGCTTTGCCCGATAGCACATTTCAACATATCCTCATGCCAGATGAAGATGAGGAGGAGGACTTGCATTGGAAAAAGGGAGACTTAGGGGACTTGAAGGATGTTGATAACTCACCTTTCAGTCATGCTCCTTCATTCAAGTTTCTTTCTAATTCATGGTATATACCAAAGGAAGACAAAGCAGTCGATACATCAGATTTAGAAGTTGCAGAAGATCCCATGGACCTCCAAGGAATCGATCTGATTACAGCAGCATTACTCTTTTGTCTGGGAGATTCTCCAGGTGGGAGGGGTATATCTGATAGCCGCATGGTTGATGTTTATCACATTGACTTTGGGACACAGACGTTCTCACTTCCATCTGCAATATTAGCTACAAATACAATGGTTGGAGAGATAGCCTCAGCTTCAGCATGTGATCATGCCAATCCACAGCTTTCAAATCCAAGTCCTTTTCAGACACTTGGGCTGGATCTAGTTTTGGAATGTGTTGCTAGGTACCAGCCTAAGCAGCGTTCAATGTTTACCTTTGTATGTGGACAGTTATTTAGAAGAAAAGAATTTTCTTCCCATTTTAAGAATGTACATGGTGACATCCATGCTGGACTCAATGGATGGATGGAACAGAGGTGTCCTTTGGCTTATTATGGTTGTACCTATTCTCAGCGTAGATTTTGTCCATCAACACAAGGAGCAAAGATTATACATGACCGCCATTTAAGGTCATTTGGAGTTCAGCCATGTATATCTACAGTATTAGAAGAGCCTTCGAGAAACTGTGTGTTGGGATTACGTAGTGACCATCTAAGTAGTCTCCCATTTGAGGTACTACAGCATATTGCAGGCTTCCTAGATGGCTTCAGTTTATGCCAGCTTTCCTGTGTATCCAGGCTAATGAGGGATGTGTGTGGCAGTCTACTTCAGTCTCGTGGAATGGTAATATTGCAGTGGGGGAAAAAGAAGTATCCAGAAGGAAATTCATCATGGCAGATAAAGGAAAAGGTTGGTTTAATTTTAACTTATCAACCTCTTTTAACATAAAGTAGGCACTTAATAATGCTATAATATATCTAATAACTTTTTGAAAAAGTGACCATATCCTATAATGTACTAAGTCAATATGATGACACATTTTAAAAGTGATAATAAAGGACTAAAGTTATTAGAATTCTTCATCACAATCACTAGTATATCATAGATTTCTGTCCTAATATTTCTGTGTCTTCAGACAACCAGTTTTTCTTCAGTTCTGCACTAAAAACTTGGTGCCCGTGTTACTACCTGTCATCTTCTAATTTTGTCTCAAACATTGTCACCATAAGACAGCTGAGGAACCTAGGAAAGGATTTCCTTTGGCCTTCAGTTGACTCCATTCTTAATAGTGTCTTTTTCAGGATGAGAAATACACACACACACACACACACACACACACACACACACACACACACACAACTGTTACTATAGTCATCCTAGTAATTGACCAGCAAACTGCTTGGGTGATAGCTTTAATAGGTGAGTAAGGCTGAAGTGAGATGAATAGGTTAGCCTATTTGTTACTGTGTATGGAGACTCCGGATTTACTGCAAAAGGGGAATAAATATTATTTAAAAAATTGATGCGGAAATTTAGGCAGACTTAAATTTTATTTACATTCTGCTTTTGCCTAGCTTCTTCTGCTAGAAGTACTATCCAAGGCAATCTCAGGCATCTGTGACTAGAGACCCATAATTGTACCAGGCTTTTTCTTTTGGGCCACCGACCACCTCCCAAATCATGACATGGAGCCTTCTTATTAGTTACGAATGCTTGGCCTAACCTAGGCTTGTTTCTGGCTAGCTCTTTTAACTTAACCCGTTTCTCTTTATCTACCTTTTGCCTCAGGGCTTCTTACCTTTTCTTTCCTTCTATGTATCTTTCATTGCTTCTCTCTCGTCTCTGGCTGGCTGACAGCTGTATGGCTGACTGAGCCCGGGCATGTCCCTCTCTTTCTCCCTCCTCCTCCGCTTCTCCTCTCCGGCAAGCCTAGATTTCTCCTCCTACTTATTCTTTCTGCCTGCCGGCCCTGCCTAGCTCTTGGCTGTTCAGTTTTTTATTAGACCAATCAGATGCTCTAGGCAGACAAGATGAAACAAATGCAGCACATCTTTACATAATTAAACACACATCCTTACATCGTTAAACAAATGTAACACACCTTTACACAGTTAAAGTAGCATTCCATACCACATAAGATGGCTCTTTCTGTAGCAGCCTGAATAAACAATATTTGGCTGCACAACATTCAGATTTATGTAACTTTATTCTTGCCCCTTAGGTTTTGTCTTTACTCATTGCTCTAGTCTGTATCTGCTTCTCTGCTTTCTTGAGACTTTGACCAGAGGATGAACACATGAATTATTTTGAGTTTTTTTTTTTTTCTCAAAAAGTTCTGGTGACATAAAATTTCTTCAGCTAGCTATATATACGTATTTTATTTTCTAAATGATTCAGGGCATCTCTGTCCTTTGGAATAAGATACTGTAATTGTCTTTGTCCTTAGTTACTAGTATTTATATATGGAACGACATATTTTCTGGTAGTGTGAATTTCTGCAGAGACCTAGTCTTGAGGATTAAATTGTTATTATTTATACAGATTCTATATCAGTATGCTCCTATTTTCTCTGTTGAGCATAAACCACAATATACAAGATTCTACTGAACATGTCTATGTGATTAACCTACAGCTTCCCCAGACTCAACATGTCCAGCTTACCCTGCCCCTCTACCCACTTAATCTCAGAGGTAGCATCTTTGTTTACTACGCTGCCCAAACTAGGGCTTTAGGAGTAAGGGTTGACTCTCTTCTATCCCCTTTATTCCCAAATTCTAGTTGATGGTCCTTTTTCATACCTCTCCGGTTTGCCTCGCCATTTCACCTTGGATTCCTTCTGGATTACCACCGCAGCTTTTGGTTCTTCTCCAGTATATTCCCTCCAAAAAACCTGGAATTACATAGTTTTAAGTATATTTGTTATAGTTGATGCAGTGCTTAAAACTTAATATTTACCCATTGCCTCAGGGATCGAGGCAATGAAACATTTCAGATGACTCAGAATCTTTACCTCTTCAGTTTCCTCCTGTCACTTCAGACTCTAGTCACATTGACTTCAATTCTGACCTTTTATTTCTTGCCTTAAAGCTTTTGGATATGTCTCCCTGGTATCCACACTTAAACACCTGCAGTGTGCTAGATAGCATGCATTTTTACAGTACTTTCATTAGCCTGTTACTGCCTCCACTTTACAAAAGGAGCAGTAATTTGTCAGATATTTATTTATTGTGATACTGGGGGACAAATTAGGGGTTCCCATGTGCTGTGAAAATATTCTTACTTAGCTGATTCCCAGCCCTCTTGTTTTTTTTTTTTTACTGTAATGGAGGGTTTCACTAAATTGCCCAGACTGGCCTAGAATTCATGCATCGTCCAGGCAGGACTTGAATTTGTTATCCTCCTGCCTTATCCCCTGGTAGCTAGAATTACAGGCCTGTGCCACCAGGCCTGGCAGCAATGATGATTGCTCTTGTCAGCTGAAAAATTACTCTGTTGTCACAGAATTGTAAGGCATCTGGCTACTTTGGAAACCATTACCCTCTTGAGAAATTGTTATGAATGCTGCCCTCATCCCAGTACTGCTACTTTCTAGAGTATCTGCTATTTACCATGTGGAGCTGGCCTTCTGTCTTTGTGGCTTCACTGTCATGTAGATTAATCCAACTGCAGATAAAAATATTCAGGAAAAAAAAATGCACTGAGCATGCATTGCATAGACATTCCTGTTCATTATTCCCTACTACACAACACTTACATTGTATTTGGTATCAAAAGTAACCTAGAGATGATTTTAAAAGTTTATGGGAGGAAATGGATACACCACTTTGACCAGTATGAAGAACAATGGATTTATTCCTTTTTAATTTGTAACTATTTAGAACTTGCTATTTTATGTTTCTATAGCAATAGAAAAGAAGTAGAAATAGAGCAGCTAGAGCAGAGCAAAAAGGGCATTCTGAGTTTTTGTTCATTGGATTATTTTAATCTAAAGCAGAATTTTCTTCTAGGTATGGCGATTCAGTACTGCGTTTTGTTCTGTTAATGAATGGAAATTTGCTGACATCCTAAGCATGGCTGACCACTTGAAGAATTGCAGTTACAATGTTATAGAGAAACGGGAGGAAGCAATCCCATTGCCATGTATGTGTGTAACTCGAGAACTTACTAAAGAAGGACGTTCACTGCGCTCAGTTTTAAAACCCGTACTTTAAAAACTGTATTTACTTGCACATACATGCAAGCACCTGGTATGAGTTTTGTAATGTATGACACTTTATTAATGTATTAAAGACTACAACTAGCTCAATTTATTGTCACTATGTACATACTGTTTTGCAGTGACATATATTTTTATAATGTACTGTTAATTGGGGGAAAAAGTTGCCTTAATATTTGAAGTGTGTGAAATTGTTGGAACATTGCTAGACAGGGTAATCTAATCTTTATCTGCATAATTTTTAAAATTAGTAATTTTAATGGTGTGCATATTTACGTTCTGAAAATTTTTGCTTCTCAAACTAAGAAGAACTTGACCAAAAAATTAATTTTTTATGTTTTCTGTGGGTTGAAGCCCATATTATCAAAAAGCAAAACTTTGATTCAAATTTTCCTGCATACATTTTTTTTCACAGAACACATTCAGTTGTTTAAACACTGCCGTAAGATTGCTATCAAGTTTTTCTGATACTTTTCTAATTATTGATCATCCATGATCTCCAGTACTTAGGTACAGGCACAATAATGACTTCATGCCTTCAAAACAACTCATAAAAAATGTTTTCATCCTCTTTTCTTTACACTCTTCTGCTGAAAATGGTCCTATGCAGTCCTTTTTCACTAAATCCCATATCTGAGGAGTCATGGCACAGTGTACTATGTGACGGACTACAGTAAAAACAAAGCAAGCCTATGAATTTAACTTGAAATTTTTCATGGTGTTTCATGTTTTCCTAGGTATCTAATGTTTGAAAAGAAAATATACCTCACTATAAGTTTGAATTTGGCATATTGTTTGAATAAACTTCAAATATTCAGAATTCAAAGGGTTTGACTTTTTAAGGGGCTTTTAAAATGTTCGTATAGTGAACTATATGTCTATAAAAATACACTGGCATTGTTTTAAGACATTTAAAAATGTGAAATTTCCAAGTGTTTATAAGTTAACATCGAGCAGAAACCTATCTTGGTTGATAATCTTTTTAAAACATTTCCCCAGTCATGCTTCATGTTTCCGTGTCGGGACATAAGAGTTGTGTCTTTTTGTAAAAATCAAGTGTGGCAATGAAGTAGTCAAGAATCTACAGTTTTGAAATTGATTTATACCATATTCACTTAATGTGCTTCTTTTAAAGAAATGAGCATACAGGGTCGATATGTAGAAGTAAATTCCAGAGGCAGAGACAAAAGTTCCTTATCCACATAAATTCTGGCACTGATGAGCTGAAATGACTAGTGATGCTGAAAATCAACTCTGTCTTCTCTTTCTGTGTTGTTTTGGAAGTTCTTTGTGGTTACGGGTTCCTCTTTCCAGATGTGGTAGTCAGACTGGGGAGCGGTATCCTTGGCTATTGAAGATGGATTCTCACCTGCTTGAGATTTGTCGGCAGCCTCAGGCCTGGTCAGAGTTGAGAGTGGAGCTGGAAGACTAGTCACCTGTTTCTTACCTGTCCTTTAACCCAGTGCCTAAACTTTCTGTTTCAACTGGGAGACTGAATGCATTAAAAAACAAACAACAACAATAATAAAAAAAACCAAAAAACCTTTTGTTTTTGCCAAAAGGTAGAAATAGGAATCAAATGTGACAGAATATAACTTTGCTTTTTAAATTTTTTTCTGAAGAATGTGTCTATAGTCAGGTAACATAAGCATTAACCTTATGTTTTATGTTTGTATTTTTTAAAATTTCATGGTTTGTAAATTTCAATCTCGTTCCACACTGAGATAATTAACATTTTTTCACCTTTTTCACTGAATGAAATGGATATTTTAATAATAGCATATGTACATGAAAACTTTCTATCTACTTTTATTTGTTCAAATAAATACTTTTTACAACTTATTCTGGGTGAAAAATGATAGTCAAGAACTGACAAATCTTATTTGAGTTAAGCATAATTCAGCTGTTTTTCTTAAGCTATTGTTGCAGTTTCAGATACCTAGAAATAGCTACTTACTAAAACTTGAGTCTTACAACTACAGACAGGGGGACAGTATGGAATTTTACATGAAACTCTGCATAGAAAAAATATTCCTCATTCTTCATGATAGTTAACATTTAATTGCTGTTGATATCACTGCATTTTAGCCATCAGTCCTTCATGTGGAAGCAACTTCAGGAGACACAGGAACTGAAAGTTCAAATATTTGCTTACTGAAACCATTTTAGTACTAATAAATACAATCCTAAAAAATACAATTACCGTATTTTACAAAAGTTGACATGAACAATGTGGTAAGTAAAGTAACAACAGTGGTAAATTCTTAATTAAGAAAATACTAAATTTAGATTAAACCAGAAGGTGAACATTTGGGTTTACAGGTTAATTAACGTCATAAAAAGTATTCCTCTCTGATTCTTTGGTGAATTTGTTGCATGAGTACTCTAAAGTACTATGAACTACAGCCACTAAAAATCACTTAGAAGCTAGTCCAAAGCTTTTCCAAGTTTTCCTGTAATCATAGGCACTTTTTCTAAATATAGTAAAGATGCAGCCTTTAAAAGAAAATTAAAATTTATCAGATCAGTTATATTTATTAAATTAAGAAACGACTATCTCTTAAAAATGAGAGCTCTGGGAACGTTAAAAATGTATACAATTTGTTGTCTTTATCAATGCATTATTGTGTGTTTAACTTAAAATGAGTAAGTTAACTAAACAACTTAGTATTTTACCAAAGTTAAAGCAAGAATTCTATCAGAAACCTGAAACCCAAAGAAAAACTAGAACGACTGACTCTGAGCCAGTAGCTGTCCAGACTTAGCAATACACCATGACATGGACATTGATGGTAGAATGTTAGATGCTAGATGTTAGAATTTTGAGTTCCAACCTTTGTCTGAAGCTTGGCAAAGTAGAACACTTAGGAACATGGCCAGTAGTGTGCCTGGTCATCTGTTAGGCTTCGTTTCCTCAGAATGCTGCTCACTGGCCACATCTTTGCCCTCCTTAGATTTTTGCTACTATGTGATAATGAGTTTGTACTTTCTAATCTTTCCAGATATGCTCATATTTTTCTGTTTCTATTTTATTTGATTATCCCTGAATTGTTTTTTAGTGTTCTGATTGCAAATTTGAAATTGGGAAGTTCCTGCCAGATTTATGACAGAAGGATTTTTCTTTTCTGTTCTAGAAAGGTTCTTGTCATTCAAAGATTGTTGGTCAGCCCCAAGTTGCAGTCACCAAATTTTCTGGTAGAAGAAAACATCTGTTGGTTCTCAAGTGCCTGCAGAAATTACAAGGGCACTCGGGCATGTCTTCTGCTCAGTGTTTTTAGTAAAGATACGTTGTGCTTTATTGTGTGAGAAATTGGGTATTGACCTCCTTCAGATATCTGTAGTCTTTCTCAGTTTATTTGATGAGTTCTAATCCCCAGTTTTCCAAGGTAACATCTCTTACGTTTTTCTAGTTTTACTTCACTAATACTTAATCCATTTCACAGATTTTACATCTCAGATTTCGAATTCTGAGTTCTGTCTCATGACTGAAGCAGTATGCTTTCTTACTTAATTCTATAAATTTTCTTGAATGTTGCATGTTTCTTCATTCATGTCTTAGATTTTTTTCGTTTCCGTTGTTTTCTAAGACATATTTCATGTTATGTTACTTCTTTATTATATTGCTATGTTTTAAATGTAACTTTCTTATTTTTTCATTAAAAAAAAAAAATGAGCATTTCTTCTTTGTTGAGCTTGTTTTAAGACCAAATTGAGGAGTTCCAATTTCTGCTCACATTTCCATGTTCTGTGACTCCACTTCTTTTGTTTCTTGTAGCTCCTTCTGCATTTCACTAATCTTTTCATGTTTTTACTTTTCTCTATAAGCAACTTATAGTGACTTGTTCTGTTAACAACTTATGTGAATGAACTGCATCTGGATTTCCAACCATCTTCCAAAATCATCATAGTTCATTTGAAAGTTTTCAATTAACATCAAAATGTTCTCATAATTTTGCAAATCATAATTCTCAGAATATGATTCAGATACCCAGGTGTAGGCCTGATGGTCATCCACAGCATTTACATGTTTTGTGAACACATTCTTTTAAATGAGTGCCCCCTTCATATTCTTCCTTTTCAAGGGCAAATTGCTGGACACCAGTCCTTCTCCACTTGTCTGGCTTCTGTGATCTCTGAATGGCTGAGCTTGGGGACACAGGGCTATCCTGAGTTGTGTGCGGCTGTGCTCTACCAGGCATTATTTTCCACACCTTTTGCTGTTCCCCTTTTTATTATGCCACCATATTATTTTGCGAAAATATTCTTTCTGCTACATTTATTCAAATTCCTAATGGACTTACATGCCTCATTAACTTATAAAGAGAAACTTTGACCTGGGTAAAATTTTAATACTTTGCTGACAAATTCCAAGCGTGATCATACTGTTTCTGTAATATTGACATTCCACGTGTTCTAAGAGTTGTTGATTGCTGATTATCATTGCTGACTCAGGTTTTACTGGTGAACATGAAGTTTATAAACTTGTAAAACTTAGTTTTTTCAACTTCTTCAACATCTTCAAAGTTGTCCCATCCATCTAGTATTAGGGAAAAACTAGAGTTTCTGGTGTGACTATTTCTCTAAAATATGTAATGAGAACCTCTTAATCATGAAAGAGATATGTTTTATATTGGCCTAGCAGTTTGTCATTTGAGGAGGCTGTTGATTTCTGTCTTTGGTAGTTATCAAGATGAAGGACAAGTCTAAGAATGGAGGGCAATATCTAAATTCACTTTATTCTCAGCCTCCTTCACCAGAGATTACTGTATATTCTTTGTCAGTTTTTATCTATTTTTGAGACCTCACAGGTCTCTTGGGTGTCAGAAGCAACAATCTATGCTCAGGTATCCAGGTGATCCTGATACACAGTAAGAGGCAATTTGGGTTTTGTTTTTTTTTTTTTAATTTTTAAAATTACATCTTTTCTCCCTTCCCTTTCCTCCCTCCAGCCTCTTCCATGTCCCTCTCTCACTCTCTCTCAAATTCATGGCCTCTTTTTCTTTAATTGTGTATTTAGGAATACACATACACAGATACTACCTGCTCAGTCCACGAATGTTACTTGTGTGTATATGATTCCAGGGCTGACCACTGGTATTGGAGAACCAATGGGGGCATTTTTAGCCCCACTCCCAGTATTCCTCGGTTGACTAGTTCTTTATTTATGGTTGAGGCTTCATAAGCAGTCTTGCAGGAAAGCCTGGGGCTTGTCGACTGTCTCTCTCTGTTATTCAGGTGAGTGTGTTGGTATGTACATATTTGAAATGCTAAATGAAGAGCCATAATTTATTAAAACTAATGTTTAAATTAACTATGTATATATGTTAATTTTCTAGCCATGTGGTCAAATACATTGGGTACTGTGATTTGGATTTTTGTTTTTAAAAAAAGCAGTATTTTAAATTTCCCTAGTATCATACTGGTGTTGACTTTATTTATGGTAAATTATGGTGTAAATTTTAGCTCATCAGTAACCTTTAGCTAAATAGTCTTGTTCTCTTTAGTGATTGCAGAATCTGGTCAATACCCAGGATTTTTAAAATAAGAAAAGTGTAGAAGTAAAGAAATACTGAATCAAATCCTGTGAAGATGTTTAATGGGAATCCCCTCAACCCAATCAGTAAGAAATATTAATTGCAGGTTTCTGGTTTATCGTGGTGTAGAATCTGTTTCTAGGTCTTTGCCACTATTTGCATACATTGATGATGTTATATTATCTGTCCTTTCACATTGTGAGAATCTTAGTAATATTGAAATAATGGTGTTTGCAACAAAGCTATGCACATTGAAGGTATAGGAGTTTGTTACTATACTAATAAGGGATTTTATTTGAAGAGATTTTACTATTGGATTTGGTGTAAAACAGAATTTTGTGTGTGTGTGTTTTCTTTCCCCAACTAAAAGTCATTGGGTTTATGTTTTAAATATTGTGAGGAAAGGGTATTGAAACATTTTAAAGTTTGTTTCATGATTGACATACTACAATGGAAGTGGATGTGATTGAGACCTGCATAGTTAGCTGCTAAAAAGTGAATGAAAGCAGTTAGACCAACTCTCTGGACAAAACGTTTGGCATAGAAAGACTTTTTCTGCTACTATGCTTGCCTCGTTATCTAATTGTTGCTGTAAATGGTCTTGCTGTCTTGATAACTATGAAGCAGAGTTCTGGTTATTATGCCTTTAAATCAAATGTAGTCAGGACTAGCTCATCCCATTGTGTTTACAATAACATGCCAATAGATTTTGTTAGTATTAATCTAAATCTGGTTTCTAGAAAGAAAAAAACAATTCTTTCAATAAAGCCTAAGTCTAGTGAAATCTTTTCCAAATTACATGAAAAAGAAGGCTAGTTCTTTTGAAGACACCTTTTATATAACTATTTCGTGTTACTTAGAAGATTGTTTGAGATAATAGTTCTCAACTTCCAGTTTTATGATGAGAATATTGAGGCATTCAGTTTAATAGAAATATGCCCTGACAAGGATCCCTCTTCTACTTCACAGATGCAGAGAGAGAAGGGACATTTAAATAGAAGGAAGTTACTGTTGTCTGAAAATTCAGTTCTTACTGTTAGGGAAAGGATTGTGTGTGATACCAAATACACTAATGAAGAGTGGTGTGTTATGTTGGAAATCCTTTCCAAAACTGAGACATTTTACTAAAGGTTTGTGGAATTTTGTTGCCTCTGCAGCTGAAAAAAATATACATTTACTGTATATATGTAAATGTATCTAACTTCTAATCTTCATAATTGATCATCTTGAGTTTTGTTACCTTAGACCATTCAAAATATTCTAGTTGGATTGATGTTTCATTGTATTATGTGTAGAATGACTTGGCCTTAATAAACTACAGAGAAGTAAATTTGGGTTACAAACATGATTCGTTAACACACTGTAGAAATACAGTAAAAATTTGTTGATACAGATCTTTAAAATAATTTTTCAGCCTTTTGACATGCTGGATTGAAGTTTCCATTCTATTTTTTTAATAATTTATTTGTATTATTTTTATGTGCATCAGTGTTTTGCCTGCATATATTCCATGTGTGGGTGTCAGATCTTGGAGTTACAGATAATTATGAACTGCCATGTGGGTGCTAGGATTTGAACCCAGGTTCTTTGGAAGAGCAGGCAGTGTTCTTAACCGCTGAGCCATTTCTCCAGTCCCGAAGTTTTTATTCTTAAGACAAGAAAAAACATTTCAGAGCAGATTGACAAGAGAATTAAATCATTTCTTTTTCACTAATACTAATCCAGGTTTTAGCATCTCCAAAATCATTTTATTAACATATTTGCATGATTATATTAGATAATGGCTCTTCTATTGTTAGTTCTAGTGGGGGCAATATTTCATGTGTTGAAAGTAATAAAATTACATTTCAGTTGGATTCTTCATATAAGATTCATAGGTCCAATTATCCTTTGCTATTAAACATAAAAAGTCATTGAAATTTTGCCTTTTTAGCATAAATTATTTACATTTTCTCAGAAAAGATTATAAAGAAGTAAATAAACTTATTTAATATTTGTCAGGAAAACTGATAAGAATCAGACAGTTTTCTTCTGTTTCTAGTCAAAAGGTGACATTAATTGTTAGGCTATTACATGATAGTTAAGAGCCAGTGATAGAAGAACATTCAAAAGACTGTAGAGTTGAACATCGAGCTGGGGTCGGGGTAATGCTCAGTTGGTAAAGCACTTGCTGGACAAGCACGGGGACATGAGTTTAATTCCCAGAACCCGTAAAAATGCCAGGCATGGTGGCACATACTTGGAACCCCATCGCTGAGGAGGTGGAGACAAGCAGACCCACTGGCCCCCCACTTTAGCCCAGTTGGTGAACTGCTTCGAAAGAGGTGGATGATGTTCCTAAAGATGACACCTAAGGGAGGGGAGTCCTCTGCCTCCACCAGCACTTCAACAAAAACCCCTGCTTCTTGCTATCCCAGAAGAGTTGGTTCTGTTGAAATATTTTTTGTAAGTTATTGTAATGATGCATATTTATTCTGTGGCTTAAATTTTCTATGGGGTGATCAAAATGCCTAGATTAATTATATGGAGTTTTAAAAAAGCTAATCAAATTTAGCGGATTTCATCAACGATTTTATTTAAATAACATACTCCGCTTTTTAAAAAGTCTCTTTGGGTTCAACAGTAAACAGATTTGTAGTTTTGAAACATTTTAATTACAACATTCAGGTTTAGCCATATTGTTTAACCAAAACAGGCTATAGAAATCAAAATTAAACCACCATATGTTCAAGGGTAAAATTACTGAAAGAATAATTGTTAGTTGAGTGTCTTTTGCTAATTATTTAAACTAATTACCCTTATTTATTTTACATAAGCAGAGAACAAGAGTACTGATTTGCCACAATATTCCAGTAACCCTGACATGCAATTGCTTTGAATGGTTAAAATCTCAGTGAACATGACTTCTGAAGATTTCAATTCTGCATTTAAAATGTTAAAGCTGTATTGTTTATCTGAATGGATTTACATCTAGAAAAGTAACTGTACTTACTTATCTCACATGCTGTGTAGCTTCCACTATAACCTTTATTTTTTCTTATGTTACATTCATCACTGTCTTTAAGTTCAAAATGATATGGTATTAGTTGGAAAAAATGTATGGTGCTAGACACAAAAGGCCACATGTAATTGTATTTATATGATCTAGAATAGGTCAATCCAGAAAAACAAATCAGATTAGTGTTTACCAAGAGAAAGGGGGATGTCTACTTAATGAGTACAGGGTTTCCTTTTGGAGTAATAGAAATCCTCTAGATCATGACCTCGATGATGTTTGCACAGTGTTGGGATGCACTGATTGCCACAAATCATATACTTTAAGATGGTAAATTTATGTACTATGTATTTTGCTACACTTATATTTTGAGAAGGTTGTGGTATTTGAGGTCATTATTAAATCTCCCCCAAATAAGTGTTCCCAAGGCTTCTGAAATGTTCAAGCTGTAGTTTGGAATTAAGATAGCATTAATAATGTGGCAAAGGTATTAGATTAAAATTCTCAGGAAGTCCATGAATCCTATCTTAGACTTATTGCTGACAGCAGTAGAAACAAAGCTGATTCCTCACAATTTCCTTATATTGAAGACAACTGTGACCTAGGAGTTCCCTTCTGTTGATATTTTTTACTTCTTGCCTTTTGTTATGATCCCTGTGACTTTTAAAAATGTGTTTCAGAATCATGCTTTGAAAAAATGTACTTTCATGTTTTTTTAATTTTATACTTTATGTTCCTTTTAAAAAACAAATATAGTATGTATTAGGCAAGATTTAATAAATTGAACTCTACATTTTTTTAAAAATCCTTTTGTATTGTCTTGTGGAAAAGAAACTACTTGAATCTTGAGCTTTGTAATAAGCCTTTTATGATCATTTAATATCTGGTGAAATTGAACTTGTTACTGTGTTCATTGCACACTTATTGAACGCTCATTCCAGTTCCTCTATAGGCATGACTCTGGGAGGCTTTTCAGGTAATTTATCATTTTTCTATCATTTACCATCTAATAGTGATGCCAGAGAAGTGGACAAATTCCAGGAAAACAAAGAATTAAGGTAAAGATTCACTTACAATGTTTATCCACATAATTCTCCAAATACTTCAAGAACTGTTCTTCGGCATACTTATATATATATATGATCATAAGTAATCCCTCAAGGAATTCATGTATTTCTCTTGATTCTGGGAGGCGTTGATTTCACGTCATTTGAAGCTCACAACTGCGCAGAGTGCTAAGATACCAACTTTGCAAAATCGCAGACTCAACGATTAAAAGTTAAATTGCTTTGCAAATAGCTGTGCTTGTCGTATAATTGGGAGTATTCATGCCAATTAAAGGGTATATTCTCCAAGTGGAATGACAATGAGTATAATTAAATGAGATTAACAGAATGAGGATACTGAACTAGATCATCAGGATAAAAGGACAAGAAGAGACTTGTACTGCAATAGCTGTACTTACACAGTGCAACCAGATTCAGAATCAGAGCACAGCAAATAACTGTGTATTCATGCTCTGACAGTTTATTGTACTTTGTTAACCCAAGTGATTTCTTATTAATGGAACTTGTTTGCTGTTTAGGGAATAGGTCATTTAACCCATATTCCATTGTCTTTCTATTCCATATTGCACTCTACCTTCTTTCTGATTCATTGTACTTAGTTCTCCACAACTATCTTTTAATGTCACTGAACTGTTTTATCCATTTCCTTTGATGAAAATGTTCTCCTTCAACTTGCCTTGTTCACTATTGAAGATATAATTCTAGATAACACTGTTCTTAGACTTTCTCATCACCTTTTATTTTTGTTTCTTTTTCCAATTATTTTCCAGCATTAATCACACTCCAGTACCATTTCTGTTTACTAGTATCTTTAACAAGGTTATTTGTGGCCAGGCGGTGGTGGCGCATGCCTTTAATCCCAGCACTCGGGAGGCAGAGGCAGGCAGATCTCTGTGAGTTCGAGGCCAGCCTGGGCTACCAAGTGAGTCCCAGGAAAAGCACAAAGCTACACAGAGAAACCCTGTCTCGAAAAACCAAAAAAAAAAAAAAAGGTTATTTTTGTCCTCTCTAGGTAGAGTTCCTGTGAGTTTCTGTGCCTGGGTGAGACCCTTACATAAGAAGGAAATTATTAGATGTTTATTGATATAATTAGTGAATAATGATTAATTTTAGTGCCATTTATTTATTTATTTATTTATTTATTTATTTATTTATTTATTTTGGTTTTTCGAGACAGGGTTTCTCTGTGTAGCTTTGCGCCTTTTCCTGGAACTCACTTGGTAGCCCAGGCTGGCCTCGAACTCACAGAGATCCGCCTGGCTCTGCCTCCCGAGTGCTGGGATTAAAGGCGTATTTTTTTTTGATGTATAATATGCAACTCCAAATTTCTGGTGTTTAAGCAGCAGTCTGGCAAACTCATGCTATGTTGGCTACACAGGTTTTGTTTGGCCTGACTTACCTGCTCCTGGTTGGCTCACATGTCCACAGTAACCTGGTTGATGAATGGAAGATTAGTTGATTTAAGATCTCACATATCTGGCAGTTGGCAGGCCACCCACTGGCCAGAGTGATGGGATGATTAGGCCACATGTCTCTCATCCAGGCCAGCCCAGACTTATTTATACAGCAGTAGCAAAAGCAGCAAGCGAGTAGGTCCCAGTTAACAAATCCTTTCCATCCCACTGCGTGTTAACATCTATCAATGTTCTATTTTCCGAAGCAGCCCCATGGTCAATGAAATAAACTACCTCTTGATTGGAAAAGCAGCACAATCATGTTACAAATGAGTAACATCCAGGAATAGGGAGAATCATCCAATTAAGCCTTAGAGTATAATATCACTAATTTTCATCTTCCTCAAATCCTTTCAACATTGTAACAAAGATCCTAAATACAAAATAGTAAGACAAATTGAAACCTTAGAATCTTTTTTTTCCTTTTTTTGCTTTCCTCAAGAACTAAAAAGAATAGAGGGGCAAGGAAGAGAGGAGTGAGGAAACGCAGGGAGGGACAGCCAACACTAATGGCCATGGGGGGAGGGGTCATGTTAAAACCTAATACAATAGAAGCTCCTTAAAATACATATATGACAAATCTGAATCATCAAATAATGGGGGAGGCAAAACCCAACTGGACCTCTCTCACCACCAAGTAAAACCCCCAGGGCCAGGAATGTGTTACATCTAGTTGAGTTGTTGGCCAAAGGGGTGCCATGGAAACCCCTAAACAACTCAGGCTATTGCCAAGGCTATTGGTTGCTCTTTATAAACTGATGGTATGACCCTGTTGGCGAAGACTACCCTACATAAATAAATGAATACAAAGAAGCTGGGCTGTTGCCCACCTATGGCCTTCACCCATACTGACTAGTGTTCGTGGTACTGGAAGGTACTCTGCATGCTGCCAGAGGAGAAAAGTAAACACCAACCTAGCTACAAACCCTTCAGTCTACAATAGTGACCTGTCTGCAAGATATACTGGTGAAATCCTGGCACAAAAGTTACCAGAATAACCAACCACTGTCTGGATTTAAGGTCCTGTTCATGAAATGGAATCCATGCCTGACACTCCTCCCGTGGACAAGAACCTGAGACATGATATGCCATAGACCTAGGGGAAAAACTATTGTAATGCTAAAGGAACGTAGTAATGACTTAATATTCTGCTATGCCTATAGGTTAGTGTCTTCTGTAGTAGATGGAACTAAATATACAGAGACCCACAGCTGGACAGTGTGCAGAGACTGAAAGACTTTAGAATACTCAGTCCTAAGTGGGATGTCTTTATCAAACCCACCTCCTTGGGGCTCAGAGAACTGTGGAAATAGGAGACCGATTTTAAGAGCCAGTGGGAGTGGAGGACACCAAAGAAAGACTTCCAGGCAATGGTATTGATGCACACGTGAACTCAGAGGCTGTAGCAGCATGCGCAGGTCCAAGCCATGGGGGTACCAGCACTGAGAATGGAAGTGGATACCATTCCCCATTCCTAACCCAGAAGCTGCTGCCAACTGACACCAGCTCACAAAGGAAAAGACAGTTGTCTTCAATGGAGTCACACTGAGTATGCAAAACGGGAGGCCTCATGCCCAGTGGAAGATGGCCAACAAAACAAACTCAATGGTGTTTTTGGAGATCTTTTGCCTCACTGCTTTGTTGGAGCATTTTTTAACCTGTCTTTTGCTTATCTATTATGCTTTCCAATTTTGTGTTTTTATGGGTGTGTGTCTTTCTGTGTGTGTATGTGTTTATTGTGCTGTTTTCTTTTTGTTCTTTCTATTTGCTGTTTTATACTGCCTTGTTTATTGGCCTGTTTGTTTTCTAAAGAGAGAGAGGAAGAAGGCTTGGAGTTGTGGGGGGGGGGGAGCCGGGAGGAGATGAGGGAGGGGCAAACATGATCAGAATACACTGCATGAAAATTATTTTCAATAAATAAATTTAAAGCAAGTTATATATTGGACATTAAAGGAATTTAATGTCAAG